ATTTTATTTATATTTAAATGATCCATATAACTCAAACTTTCAAAATAAATTTTATACAAAATAAAAATATTTATATCATATTCAATATTTTTCAAAAGTTTAGAAGCAGCTCCCCTGTCCTCCCACCCCGCCGTCCCTGCATGGTAAGACTTTTCTATGGGAGAACACTGCATGGTGAGACTGATTGAGAGAAGTGAATTTTTTTTTTTTGAATAAATTAAAATTATTTACATGTATTAATTAAAAAGAAATTTTATGAAATTTGAATATATTATCTATAAGAGATAGATGATTCGAATTCAAAATCCATGTTATTGGACTGAAACGAGCTGTTGGAAAGGAAGTGAATTTGGATATATGCTCTGTGGAAGAAAATTCACTAGGAAAAGTCTGGCGAAGACCTGCAAATTAATTGCCCTACTTGGTCAACCACTGACTTTTGTCTTTTGAATGCTTCTTCTTCCTGGCTGCTTCCACATATACATGTAGGTAATTTCCACGTTGGTCCTTGCTAGCTGCTTGGAATTGGCAGTTTGCTGGAGATCGATGTCTTACGCCAGTCAACAACATAACGATTTGGTTTCATACATACATACATACATATATACATATATATATATATATATATATGAAAAAAAAATTTATGCACACGTAAGATTTATGCGTTATATTTATATAAAATTTTAATTAATTATTTTTTTATTTTTAATAATTAAAATTTGTTATGCTTTTTTAAATAAAAATAATAATTATTTTTAATAAATATAAATAAATTTTAAGAATTAAAAATAAATAAATAAATTATTAAATTTTATATAAATATAATATATAAAATTTATTTATAAATGAATTTTTACTTTCTGTATATATATAGACACATATACATAGATTAACATATATTAATATACTAGAGGATAAGGAAAATTAGGCTGATGAAATTTCAAAAAAAGTTACAAGAATCTTTCTTTCTTGATTACCTTCTTTTTAATGTATCTGATCTCTCGTAGTTGAATTCACATTTTATTTAAAAAAAATCTCTCAAAATTGAGAAAATTGCTCATGCTTGTTCTATTTTAAGCCTTGAAAAAAGCATTGAATTCAATACCATTGAAAAAGTTGAGAGGTTTTTCATGAATTCATGAAAAATCTCTCGTTAAGAGAACAAAGAGAACTGTTATTGTATGTACTCTCAATACTATTGCTTAGACGTGACAGTGATTATGGCCACACGATCTGATTAATTTTTATTTTAGTTTAATTATCAAGAATAAGTGATAATTAATAAAATAATTGATATTTATTATTAATAAATTTATTATTAATAAATAATCGATAAAATCTCTCATTGTTCTCTTCAAAAAGAGAACAAAGAGAACTGTTACTGTACGTACTCTCAATGCTATTGCTTAGACACAGCAGTGGTTATGGCCACACGGTTTGTTTAATTTTTATTTTAGTTTAATTATCATAAATAAGTGATAATTAATAAAATAATTGATATTTATTATTAATAAATAATTGATAAAATCTCTCATTGTTCTCTTCAAAAAGAGAACAAAGAGAACTCTTATTGTATGTACTCTCAATACTATTACTTAGACGTGGCTGTGGTTATGGCCACATGATTTGTTTAATTTTTATTTTAGCTTAATTATCAAGAATAAGTGATAATTGATAAAATAATTTATAGTTATTATTAATAAATTAAAATTGATTTATAAATAAATATTTTTAAATATTATAATTAATTGTTTAACAAAAACAAGTTATAAATTGATTTAAAAAAAAATGTGTGACCATATCAATCAGCTGTACGGCCATAACCACTCTCCTTAAATGCATGAGTTAAATTATTAATAAGATGGAATTTAAAATGTTTCAGCTTTTATTTACTTAATTATTTTGTTTTTCTCCATTCTTCTCCCTCTCTGTAATTTCAAAGGATATTACTCCATGAAATTAAATTGTTCATGTTCATAATATACTTAAACTGTATATTAATTAAAGCCATATATTGATTTGTATATTTGGTTCCTTTATTTGCCTTACTTTTTCAACTTCAGCTATCTAACTAATTAACTAAGGGATTTATTTTCTTTTTAAAAAAATATTTTATTTATAAATTAGTAAACACAGTAATGCATGCTTAACAGTTTGAAGAAAAAGAAGTTCCATATATATATATATATATATACATATATATAAAGAGGTTTACCATAAAACAGTCCCTTTAATATATTTGTCACTTTAATTAGTCTTTGATCGCTTTTTCGGAAGCATTATGTTTGTGATGGCCATCAAAGAAACAAACTTCAGAAAAGCCAAATAAAAAGCTTGTGATTCATCAGTAGTTATCCCGAACCAGGTACATAAGAAAAGAAAAGAAAAGAAAAGAAAAAAAAGGGAAGACTTCTTTGGAGACTTCACTTGAGAAATCCCTGGGAAGCATCCAACTTCATGCTAGGAAAGTCTTCACGATTGAGGATGAAGTCAGTGGCATTTGTAGGGGAGGTGGTGGCCGGGATGAGGTGTTTGGAATTTATATATTTTAATAAAAAATAAAATAATATATTTTATAAATTAAATTTATTATTGATTTGGTCAAATTAATCTTTGTAATTTATTTGTCCTATTTAATGCTATATTATTATAGAATAATTACCTAATTTATTCCTATTATTAATCAATATATTATATGATTATGAGTGACATGTCTTTTTGCTCAACTAGATAAATTCCTCTATATTCTTTTACTTTCTTACTCTATCTTATGGATATTTTTGCACAAAGAAAGGTGTTTTTAGTCAACTAACTTTATAAGTTGTGCAATTTCATAGATAATTATTATAAAACTATAACATAATGAGAGTTACATTTTGTGCATATCTCTGCTGTACTAAAATAAATAAATTTTCATACCTATTTTCATAATATTTTTTTATTAATATTTTTTTGATAAATTCATTAATTATTATTTTTATTTAATTTTATGAGTAAGGCACAACAATTACATAACATGGAGACAAAGAAGAATGTTCAAGTAACAACACGAGGACATGGAGGAGTGAGAGGTGGAAGATGGTGAGAGTCAGCATTTTTGGGATTCAATGGTACTTAAGGAAATCCAGTCATCGTTAATTGCAGCCTTCTTATAATAAAATTGATCAGTTCTACAGTAGAGGGCAATGGTGAAACTGATAGAAACTGAAGCATAGGATGCTTCAAAGGGATTTGTAAAGACTTAAAAAGCCTTTTGCCGATTAGAAGTTGCTGCTTGGTGATTAAAGAATGGGAAAATACGCAATTTAATTTAATTAATTAGCTCCTTAAAAATAATACGTCCAGAGAAGTAAGGAACCAAGGGAACAGGGGGGCGTTCGCTGGACGCGTTCGAAGGAGACGATGCGTTTTGGTCGTTGAAAGGGGAATATTTAAAGAGAAGATCAGCTTCCCATTTGCGGCCATCCAATGATGTAGTTGTTGAAGTTGCAACGCAGTTGAGGAGTATGACGTCAGTGGCGTTGTAAGGTGGGGTTGTGGTGGACGGGAGGAGGACATATAGGAGAGAGATAGGAAAGTGGTGAGTGAAGATGGATTCATTTTGAAGCAGAGCAGTCCTGTACCCTGAAACCTATCTTTAATTAGTGGCATTCTCGCTTATTCGGAGACTGTTTAAAAATCAGAGAATAGAATGGGCGATTGATGTCCTTTTCTTTTTTTTTTTTTTTATGAACAGTTACAATTTGAGAGTAGGAAAATAGAGAATACTAACATTATATTATCATAATTTAAATTTTAATGTCAATTAAGATATTAAGTATAGTAACCAGTTCACCTATAAAGCTTAGTGTGAATGGGGATTGGCATTTATCACATGGTAGGACTATTCTACAGTAGAAGTCAATGGTGAGACTAATTGAAAGGAAGTGAAATATGCTATGTGGAAGAAATTTCATTGAGAAAAAGTGAGGCGAAGACCTGCCAGTTTTTGGTTGAAGTCTACGCGGCCTGGATCAGTAATCCCGCCACTCGAATGCCATTGACATTAAAGCCCCTTTAAATGTCACTTTAATATATTTAAAAAAAAAAACAGAACTGAAAATTGACCGTTACTTTAATTTGTCCTCGTTTTTCTTGGCTACATCTATTTTTTAATGTGTATAATGGTCATCAAAGCAACAATACTTAAGCAAAATAAAAAACTTGTGATTCAATAGTTAATTCACTATGTTGTTGAGTACATTGCTACACATAAAAATTAGGTAAAAACCCTTTTTAGGCTCCCAAACTTACCCCAAAATAGCATTTAGGTCTCTAAACTAAAAATAAAACAGATAAGCCCTCTAACTTCACTAACAATGCAAATAAGCCCTTCTCACAAATGGGTCAAATGGTATTTTATGTTTAATATCACCTTGAAAGCATGAATAAACATGAATGAGAAGGGTTTATTTGCATCATTAGTGGAGTTAGAGAGCTTATTTACCTCATTTTTAGTTTAGGGGTTTAAATGTTATTTTGGGGTAAGTTTGAGGGCTTAAAAAGAGTTTTTGCCTAAAAATTATCTTGTACTGCTTCTCTTTAGTTTATTTGTTTGTTTGGCCTGTAGCTGTTGGCATAAGTGAGCCTTTTGCGTGGTGATAACTCTTTTTGTCAAATTTTCTGAGTTCTAACAAACTATATCCTCTTATGGTTAGGCCATCTTCTTTACATTTAAACTAATAACTACTGTTATTTTACTGTTGTCTTTTTTTAGATATGATTGGAGTAATTAGTTTGTTTGTAGAGGACGGATTTGATCTGTGAGGCATAAGTAGATATTTATAATGAGTTATGCTGGAAATGGTAACAGTTCATGCAGGTACCTTAAAGTTTTGCAGCTGATATGATGCCAATTGCCTGAAGATTTGCTTTAGAGGTTGTCAGCCACTTTCTGTTTGAACATGGTAAGACCTCTTGGTCTTCTGAAGGTGGTTCTTTTGATTTTGAAAAGTTCAAGTTTAATTGGATGATCAATTAATAGTGCCTCTTTAATTTAGTGAAAGCTATTGTATTGCCATGCAACTATCATCTTTTAATTCTCGTTGTCATGAGGCAACTGAGGATGTTCTTTATACGGTTGTATATGAGAACTCTTGTTTGAATTTTGGAGAGGTTTGAATTTTGAACAACTAACCGTGACCCAAGAATTAAGGTTTTGAAGTTAGTTCAGACCAACTTAGCTAAGCTCTTGTTAATTTGTTAACAAGATAAGACATTGTACATGTTATCATACATAAGAAAGCACCAGATATTGCTTATTGCGGTAGTAAGGTGAATAAGATCTGTTGAACTTGAAGGCCAAGTTTTTGCTCTGCTTGTTGTATCGGCTTCACTGCATACTTGCAAGCTAAACATCTAAATGATTCTACTCACTAAACTCTTCTTAACTCTCAGGATGCAATGAGCTAGCACATCTCATTTGTTTCGACTAGTTGATCACCTTTGCACATCTTGAATTTACTTCTTAAAACTCCAAAGGTTAAATAGTTCTGAAATTTCATGCATTAAGATTTAGTTTTGTTGTTGAAGCAATCTTATTGTTAATGAATTTTCTGATTGTCAGTATGCTACCTTTCACTTTCCAAAACCTTGCTTTTGTTCATGTTGACATGTATGGTTTGCTTGACTTCCCATTTTTCCTTTACTTTCTTCTTTAGTGGAGGGTCTTTGTGCATTTAAGTACAGGTAAAGTATTGTTTCTGCCTTTCTGGGTTTGGGTCATCTCTATTGTTGCTTTATTGTTTATTCATTACGGCCTTTAACCTACTGTGTTTTTGCTGGTTGAGTTTTTGGTAATCTTGTTGTTGATGCAGACTGTAGCATAGTTGTTGTTGTTGAAATATATATTAGCAAAGTTAATGAATATAAGTTGGTGCACTTGTTTTGAAATATATGTTACTGATTCGTTAGTTGGTTCCAGTTATATAATAGGAAAATGATGGGTGCACACCTAGATCTCACACCCGGGTGTGCACCCCCCATATAAACAAAAAAAAAATGCTCATCACCCAATCCAACTTTTTTTTTTTATGTGCGGGGTGCACACCCAGGTATGGGATCCGGGTGTGCACCAATCATGGTCTTGTATAATAATCTCTCACTTTTTTTTAAGGGAAGGAATAGCATCCAGATCAGTCCTTGGAGCTTTTTCCTCTTTTTTTTTTTTTTTTTAATTTATTTTATAACCTTTACAATGTTTGGGGGGGTGGGGAATCACACTCAAGACCTTGACTTGAGGGAATGGTGAACTTACCAGTTGGGTCCAGACAAGAGGCCAGTTGCTCTTGGAACTTTTATCTAAGGTACAATTTTGACCTTATATGTTATTGGATTCATTTAAATCCTTATATTTCTATTAATTTCAAATGAAGCCCTTTGTTTCAATTGGTTTTCAAACTAGCTCAAATTTGAATTTTATTTAGTCCCCACAGGTTCAGTTGGACAAAAACAATCTTTTTGGGCATATTTGTATAGTAGTAAATATATTTGGGTTTATTATCTAAATGAACTGTCGGGCTTGATTATAAGGGCTCAATTAGAGTTAGACTTGCGTGTGCTCAGATTTTTTTTTTCTATTTTTGGGGTTTCAAGACTCTCAATAAGGACTTGATTCATTAGGTTTTTTTCTTAAGAATCTTGAAATCTAAAACATAAAGATCCATGGTGCCAAGAAAAAAAAAATTCAGTCTAAAAAAAGGAATTTTTTTTCTTGGGTTGGCTAAATAATTTCTTTACAACATCAGATAGTCCCAATTGAGTATTATTTCTAGGATTTAATTATATTAACCATGTAGGTGGAACACAAGTGACAATGTCCTTAAAAGCAATAAATAGTTATTTGTAGAAGTTTCCTTGAAAATCAAGTAGCTTTGTCTCTTTAGAATCATGATGCAGGCATGCTGGGGTTTGTTGGTTGGTTTAATTTTGAGGGCAATTTGTTTTTGCAGGAAACAACGGTCCCCGAACTTGGGTGACAAAAAATTAAAGCACACTGTTCTCAAAGGAAAGCAAGTTGGATGCTAGTCACACAATCAACAAGCAATGGTTTTATGCACTCTTACTTACACAACTAACCACACATTTGGCTAAATTTAACTAATCATCTACTAATATGTATTTCTTAGTCTACTATTAATTGAGTGAAAACTATACTAGTAACTATTATGAAATACTGTTTCTTAATTTCTTAATTAACTATTAACTGTCGACTGATAATCCGATATAGATAGAGATTTTACCGTGTTTTGACTTGAACCCTCATCGGTGATGATAGCATCAGTATCATTCGTGTTTTCTTCTTCGGTTTCCTGAAACTGCAATGTAGACTCCAATGCCCACACGATATCCCTCATCGTCGGACGTTCATTTCCACGTTCACGAACACAATTCTCCGCGACCTCACTGAACTTCTGCAAGGCCATCGGCGCAATCTGGCCTGCCAGATACGG